GTCGGCGGCCACGCCCGCCGCCGCCACCGCACGACGACGCCGCCACCGCACGACGGCGGTGGCGACCGCGGCGACGACGGCGGCGGCGGCGGCGGAGGCCGCGGGGGCGCCTAGCTCGCCCCTCTGTCGGACGCTGCGTGGCGCAGCCTGGGCCTCTGGGGGCTCCATGCGGGGCCTCCGGAGGCCCTCGGCGGCGGCGCCGTCGCCGTTCCTCGTCGTCGTAGCCGTGGCCGTCGTCGTTGTCGGTTTGGGGTCGAGGGTCGAGGTTCGAGGTTCGAGGTTCGACTCGAGGTTCGAGGTTCGAGGAGGCGGCTGGAGGTTTCTGGACGTGTGGGGGGCCTTTTTGGGCCCCCGGGGGCCGCCGGGCCGGGGACCTCCAGGGACTTCTGAAGACCTCCAGAGGCGGAGGACGACGTCAGTCGTCGTCGTCGTAGCCGCCACCGTCGTCGGCGTCGTGGTCGGCGTCGTCGTCGCCGGTTCTGAGGTTTGTGGGTGCTTCTGGAGGTTCTTTTCGCCACGGTGGGCGTAGCTCGAGAAACTGCTTGGAGAGTGGACCCAGGAGGGGTCCAGGAACCATTAATTTTGAGCGGGCTGGGGCGGGGGATGGCGGGGGGCAAACCCAGACCGCGAGGAGTAGGAAAAAGAGGCGGAGGAAGAGGAGGAGGGATGAGGATGGGACGGGGATGGATTAGGAGTAGGAGGAGGATGGGCGAGGAGTAGGAGGAAAACAAGTGGCACGGGTGCCTTGGCTCTTGCACAAAAGGGAAGGGGGAGGAGGAGGAGGTGGAGGAGGAGGGGGGGAGAGGGGGCAAGACATCGCCCCTCGGGGCCCAGCAACGGGGCCCAAATCCCAGGTGGGGAGGAGGAGGGAGGTGGTGTGCGTCGCGACGCGGAATAAAGTGCTCGGAGCGGAGGGGGCACGGGGCGGAGGTCCCACTGGGGCGCTGGGGGCGCGGAGAGGAGGGGGGGAGGTGGTGTGCGTCGCGACGCGGAATAAAGTGGTCGGGGCGGAGAGGCACGGGGCGGGGCCCACTGGGGCGCTGGGGCGGGGACGCGGGGGGGAAGGGGGGAGGTGGAGTGCGTCGCGACGCGGAATGGAATGGTCGGGGCGGAGGGGGCACGGGGCGGAGATCCCACTGGGGCGCTGGGGACGCGGGGCGGCTCGGGGCAGAGGGCCACGGGGCGGGGGTTCAACTGGGGCGCTGGGAACGCGGCGGGGGGGAGGGAGGTGGTGTGCGTCGCGACCCGGAATAAAGTTGTCGGGGCGGAGGGGGCACTGGGCTGGGCTCGCGCCGACTGGGGCGCTGGGGACGCGGGGGGGGGAGGTGGGGGAGGTGGTGTGCGTCGCGACGCGGAAGAAAACGTTCGTGGCGGAGGGGGCTGTGGGCGGGGCTCCTACTGGAGCGCTGGGGACGCGGGGGGGCTCGGGGTGACTGGGCTGGGCTCCTACCGGGGCGCTGGGGACGCGGGGGGGAGGGTGGGGGAGGTGGTGTGCGTCGCGACGCAGAATAGAATGGTCGGGGGGGGGCATTGGGCGGGGCTTGGGGCAGAGGGGCGGGGTTCCACTGGGGCGCTGGGGACGGGGGGGGAGGAGGGAGGTGGTGTGCGTCGCGACGCGGAAGAATGCTCGGGCGGAGGGGGCACGGGCGGAGCCCCCGTTGGGGCGCTGGGGACGCGGGGAGGGAGGTGGGGGAGGTGGTGTGCGTCGCGACGCGGAATACAGCGTTCGTGGCGGAGGGGGCAGTGGGCGGGGCTCCCTCTGGGATGCTGGGGACGCGGGGGGCTCGGGGCAGAGAGTCACGGGGGGCGGGGGTCCCACTCTGGCGCTGCGTTTGCGGGGGGGGTCGGGGGTCCCACTGGGGCGCTGGGGACGTTGGGGGGAGGGGGGGGGGTGCGTCGCGAAGCAGTATAAATTGTCGGGGCGGAGGGGGCACGGGGCGGAGCTCCCACTGGGGCGCTGGGGACGCGGGGGGAGGGGTGGGGGAGGTGGTGTGCGTCGGGACGCGGAATAAAGTTGTCGGGGCGGAGAGGGCACTGGGCGGGGGGCCGACTGGGGCGCTGGGGACGCGGGGGGATAGGTGGGGGAGGTGGTGTGCGTCGCGACGCGGAATAAAGTGGTCGTGGCGGCGGGGGGCAGTGGGCGGGGCCACCGCTGGGGGAGGGGAGGTGGTGATCTGGTGTGTGAGGGGGGAAGGTGGGTGTGGGTCGCGACGCGGAATAAAAGTGGTCGGAGCTCTAGACACCCTGTGCAAGAGATCGATAAAGAAATGGAGGGGAAGGAGCAGGAGGAGGAGACAGGGATTGAGGGATGAGGGGTGAAGGGGCTGAAGGGGATGGTCGTAAAGCACGGGGTGCGAGCGTCAATGGAAACCGCTGGGTCGAATCACTCCAGGTCCAGCGCTAGCCGGTGGACTTTTGATTTTCTTGATTGGTAGGAGCGTTCTCCAGCACCTCTTCAGGATCATATGAGGCGCGGCCGCGCCGAATGCGTTGAGGACGCGCGCTGTCTGTCGCTGCCGCTGGACATCTGGAGGCTTAGACACACAGCCGCGCACCCTCCTCCAATCTGTGGATATCCGAGCAGATGGAGAAGGTGATCGCACAAAGGAGACAGTTGTGGACCCCCTTCGGGGCCGGCCCCACCGCACCACGCCCCCACCCTGCCGCCAAGTCGATTAGCGAGTTGTCTTCTCGAACGGTTCTCGAACACACGTTGCGGGCGCAGTGTTTCGCGAGCGCGAGCTTGCGCCAAACGGGTCTTGTCCGGGGTCGTTTTCACGACAGGATGTTTTGTTAAAAGCCCATCCCCGACCCTTGTTTACGCTGTCCCCTGTTGCTCCCCCATGGCAGTACGAAGGCGACGACGAGAAGCACGATACCCCTCCACGTTACACCTGGGGGCTTCCCCATGCCATCACAGATGCCTTCTCATCAACGTCATGCAGACTCTGGTGTAACCGTCGCATGGCCCAGGCCGCTGCGAAACGACATGTTTGAGGCACGCACTATACAATTGAGTTCGGTTGCCGCACGTTGAATGCAAGCCGTGGGTGGGTTGGAGTTCGCTTCAACCTTCACCGCATGTGATGGTGCATGCGTAGGCTCCCAGTTGCGCTGTTCCCACCCCTCCCAAAAAGGTGTCCTTCCTCTTCAGGAGACGCCACTGATGTTGTATTAAGCAAGCTGCTGTCTATTAGAAGTACGAGAAAGTTTGATGGACAGTTGATTGCCAAATGGGCGCGGCTCTACGCGCAGTAGGGCCGCATGGACGCTCGCTCGCTCGCTCGTTGAGTTCCGGCCGCCGCATTGTCTCGGCATGACCGAACCAGCTCATGTTGACCGCATGTGTACTGGCATCTCGTGGGCCGTATGTCTCTTCTGTCTCCTGGACTCCTGCGCAGGCGTACCTTCACCGTGTTGCACCCTTCATAGGGGTAGAGGCCCACGGGCACTGGATGGAACTACGCTGGGAGCCGAGGAAAAAAGAAGAGGAGCAGCAGCAACAACAACAATAATCAGTTTAAGCGTATCCGCTCTTATTTGTTCGCGCGTCAATCAACATGGATATATCGAGCCCTCGATGCTCGCCATTTTCGTCGTCGATCGTACCCCCCTTGGGGCTTATCTTCCTGACATGCGATTCGTAGTCGGCGCAGCCTGTAAAACAGGAAGAGGAGGGAGAGAGGAAAAAACAGACAGTGAGGAGGAAAAGAGTGCGGGGAGGGAGGGAGAAGGGAAAGGCAAGGGGGAGAGAAGGATGGAACACTAGAGAGAAGATTAGCAGGAGGAGGGTGAGGAGCGTGAAAACAAGCGGAAGAACCAGACGGGCAGGTCGGGCGAGCGGACCCTAACGGGCGTGTCGCGCGGGCGCGCCCAGATGGCCGGGCCGAGCGGGCGGGTCGTTGAAGCGTCGGTCTTGCGTAACGCGTGAGAAAGTTCAGAGCGAGAGCGTGATTCTTGAGTGTGGAGGGCGCGGCGCCTGAATGGGTTGCGAGGAGGTCCCAGGCGAGAGCGCGATTTCGGGGCAAATTGCAACGAAATCGCGGGCGAGAGCGCGATTTTGAAGAACATGTGAGGAAGTATCAGGCAGGAGCCGCTGTTGTAGTGAATTTGGGGCCAACAAGTGGACCTGAAACCCAAGAGCACGGAAGGGTGCGAGCTCTGGGAAGGGCACGTCACTTGACGAATGCACTGTGCACCGGAGGGGATATCAACCATGATCGTTTCAAAGAGGATCAGCAACAATCGTTTTAAGACTGTTCGCTCTGCGTTGCTCGCGTTCCTGTCAACATATATATATATATATATATATATACTGAAAACCTGGGTACCAGCCGCTTCCGTTGTTGATCGCACCCTCGTCGGGGGTATATCTCCATTGCCTGCCGCGGCCTCCAACATAGGAAGAAAACGGAAAAGGAAAAGGGGAAAAGCCAGGAAAGGAGGAGGAAACGAGGAAGGAGGGGGGCAGGATGGACGGGGGGAGAAATGAAGGCGAGGAGAAGGCAGCAGGAGGCGGAGGAGAGAGGAACCATGATTTGAGCAAGCCGGCCCCGACGGCCGGGCCGGGCGGGCTGGCTCTAACTGGCGGGTCGGGCGGGCGAACTTTCATGGGCGGGCCGGACGGGCGGGGCATTCAAGCGCGCGGGAGGGCTTCCAAGCCTGCGGAGGTGGATAGACCTCCTACCCTGACACGTCGATTGAGGAGTTGGCCGTTTTCGGTTCGCGAGAGGGCGTCGCGACCGTCATTTTGCGGGTCCAGGTCCGTCGGTCTCGGTCCCAGGCCGTTTTCACTAAGAGGAGGTTTACGAAAGGGAGGTTTGTCCACCGCCGAAGCCTGCGGACGGGCCGGCCGAAACGGGCAGGTCGGGAAGGCGGATCCTGACTGGCGGGTCGGGCGGGCGGGACTTTCGCGACTGGGTCTCGGGCGGGACACTGAAGCGGGCGGGCAGGCTTCGAGCAGGCCGGCCGGCGGACCCTGACAGGGGTCAGGAGAGCGG